GAACAATACCCAGCCCTAAGCTCTCCTATACTTTGTATTGCAGAGGAGATACTGCACATGTACAACTTTTAACGAGAGTCTATGGTCAAAGAATTTTGCGTGGAAATACGTTGTCAATCTGACAAAAAATGGAATGACGCTTCACTAGCCATTAAAGATTTAATATTTATCTTGCACATCTAAAAATATATATATATATTAATATCTATAGAAATATTTTAAATTTGATTTAAAATTCAATTACAAAAATAACAAAGAAAATGTATGTCTTAATCAAGGTCATTGGGTGCTTGGGGTTAGAGTCCTGCACGGGTCGAGTTTTACCAACCCGCACCCACCCGAACCCGTTAGGATGACTGCCAAACCCGACCCATCACCCGCGGATATCTTCAGTTCAAATCCGAACCCGACCCGACCCGTTGATATTTAACCCGCAACCCGACCCGTTAACACATCAAGTAATAGGCTATAGTACGCTGCGCTGCAGAACACTGACTTTGGCCTTTTTGGAGGGAAGCCCACACTGCCGGCAGGGCTTTAAGCTACAACAAGGGTGACCCCAGTGCCTGATTAATATAACATTTCTGATGTCCATAACAACACACACACATAAAAAAAAAAATCACCAACTACCTGCCCGCACTAAAAAAATATCCGCCCAACCCCCGACCCGTTTATTTTTATTTATGTATTTTTCACCCGCAAAAGAGCATTTTAGCGGGTGACCCGTCTGTTTACCATATCTTTATTAAACTAGCTTCGGCATGAGCCTCGTCAATTTTTCTCCAGTATCAAAAATGTAAATTATATATATATATATATATATATATATATATATATATATATATATATATATATATATAAATAATTGTATGTACCACAGATTGTTTACTTATATATGTATTTTTGTTTCTGTAGAACCGTGCACCCAACTTCTGTTTTCTTGCAAACTTAGATTTTTGATTTAGGCTGGCTTTTATTTTTATTTGAGACAGGACCTGTAAGTGTCAGCATATATCACAGTGTAGTTTTGGATCTGATAAAATCCATCTATGTTTATAGCTTTATAGGAAGTATAATTAAATGTTTGAGAGAAATTATGATGCAATCTGGCGACTGCCACATTTACCATCTGTGTTGCAAATTTCCCCCACTTTCCAGATATGTGTACCGGTACAAATGAGTCAGATTTTGCGCACAATTTCAAGCTGTTTGGCTTTTTTTTTAAATCACAACCTTTGTGTTGAATTCGGGAAAAACGTGATTCTGAGATCCCCTTTTGTGCGTAAGCAAGCTTTATAAATGAGAGGCCTATTCAGCTGGTAATTCTACTGTATTCTCTGCTCAAATTGAGTTGCAATAAGATTACTTTATGACATATTTTATAGTCTTTATGTTGTATTTTATCATATGGATACAGTAAGAAGAATGAAATGCCTTTCTGAGATTATGAAAACCTCTAACAATGTGTTTAAAATTCTCTAAATCAACTGATCCCTAGCAGGTTATTTGAGTACATCTCTGTGTGTTCCACTCCTTTCTGTGTGTCTACATGCATGACTTGTAAAGTTCTCTGATGTAAGTGACCTTCATATCCCAGGAGCACACCAGAAGCCTTTTATATTTTATTCATTTTTGCCGTTTGTGACCAAGGCGGCCACTCTGACACTGACACTTGTCAAAACCGACCCTTTTCCATGATATACGGCATACTGGTTTCTCCTCCTGTTTTAACAGCTGAAGAAAGCTTTATATTTCTCCTGATAATATATTTCTATTGGTGGCTGGTATGAAACTCAGCTCAGCTCTATCGGTGGTGTTCGCACCTCGATTAGTGTTAGAGGCTCCAGCTCAGACTGAAATTGCACCTCAAACATCTGACAACAACTTTGTGTCTCCTTGGCAGTTCAGGTGCTAACAAACAAAGAAACACAAATGCATTATTCCAGAGATGTTTATGTTTATTTCTTTCCATTATGCTATGCAGCCCTCAAAACTGCAGCAACTGCAGCTCAATGTGTTTCTATTAAGCATTCAATCAGGATGGCTGAACATAAATGAACACTGCATTTTCTAGTGTTACACTGTAAATGAAAATTAATTTTTTTTTTTTATTTTACATCACACATATGCGTAACATTGTGGTGGTCTTTTCAATGAAATACATTAAAGTTTCTTGAGTATAACAAAATGCAATGGTGAACATAGGAAAAATCATTTGCAGGGCACTATACTATTGGATGTTTTTCTATGAGCTATTCTCCATTAGTGGATAATAGACATTAAATGTGTCTTTTTATGCTGCAGACATCCTTTAAAATAATTGACAGGTGAATTGGGACTGTAGTACTGAAAGTTTTCTCGAAGTACTGCATATCGTATTAGAGTTAGGAGTAAAGTTCCAAACTTCAGGGACTTTTGGGGTCTTCATGGGGTGACAGAGCACTATGATGAAAATATAATAAAGCTGGTGTCAACTCTTAAGGCCTGGCAAAGTTTCAGAATGTCTAACAGGTCTTTCAAACCCAATAATGGTCAGGGCGAGGGTTCTTTTTAATCCTCACATTTTAGAAGTTACTGATCATTCACCCTGTGAGAGTGATCAGTTAAATGAGATCTTAAATCCTGGTTTCTGATGTTGCTTTCCTTCAGGAAGTCATCAGCCCTCAATGAGCAGCCAGATCTCATTAGCACACTCCGTAAATCGTTATTGCTTGATCATTGCATACAAAGTTCATTTCTGTTGCAAAAGACTCCATGTAGCAGATATTATTCAGTGATTTTGATCACACTGGAGTGGGTGACAGTGATGTCACTGTGCTTCTCAAGATGTGCAAAAGGAGAACAAAGCCGACTTTTATTAGGGGAGGTACACTTCCAGGCACAACATAGAATAGTTATTTTGCAAGTGTAAACCGTTATTTCTTGTCATTATTTTCTCTATCGCTCCAGCTCAGCTCCACTCCACCAAAACCCTTTATACAGTTGAAAAAGCCTTTGAAGGCAGATTGTAAATATATGTTGATCACACTTTCTGTTGATGTCAGCCTTTGCTCTTGACACCTGTGTAATGGATTCGTTAATAAGTTTCTTCATCACTTGTGAAATGAAGTGGGTGTGGGTGTACATCCTTCTTTATAATATAAACACTAGAGCATTCGTTATGTAGCAGATGGTCATGGAAACACTCTGGCTAAGTACTTACTTAATATGACCAGGCGCCTATTGTTGATGATGTCATCCAGAAGGAAGATTTATTTGTTCGAGTGCTAATTGGCAATGATTTCAATGATTGTTGCCACAGTTATAATTAGAGGTAATTAAATCATTGTTTAATTTTTGTGTTAGCCATAGGCTTTATGCAGTTGTTTATGTTTTTCTTTCTTCAAATTTTTATTTTAATTATTTACTTTTGCACCACAAAGAAAAAAAAAACAACACACAAAAAGCTTCATTTGCAAAAATATATTGCAATGGAATTAAAAAATATTAAATTTAAGTTTAGTTTATACATTTTATATAGATTATTGAGAAACTTGGGTAAAACCAAGGTGCTGGTGTCGGATGTTTACCGGCACAGACCCACCACACTGTTGAACATCCAGGAAACTGACTTTTAGGTAATAGCCCCTTATAAGTACCTTGGTGTTACCCTGAACAGTAAACTGAATTAGATTTACAACACTGATACTCTTTATTGGGATTGTCGGGGCAGTTTTTACCCACCAACCTGTCTGCGATCTTTTGGAGTGAAGGGAGTGCCCCTATAGAAACTTAATTTGACTCTGTTGGCACCATCTGTGGTGTAGATTGTTGAATCAGCAGCTTATCTATAACCAAGAGGAAGATGTTACATGAACTTGGTTAAACAAATTATTCAGGAAGGCTAGTGGTGTCCTATACTGTAGGGTGCCCTCTCGGCCCATTGAAAAAAGTTAGAGACAGAAAGACTCTAGAATGAATGTATACCCTATAAAAATATCACTGTTCGATGATGTCTTGCAGCCACATTGTGAAAGTGGCAGAACTGGAGACTTTTTTCCTGGCAGACAGTTACACCCTAGGTTTATCAAGAGTTTTTGCAGATCCTTTTTTTCCCATGAGTTTGTAGACTTTAAAACTTAAATCTGAGCTTTTTTCCCCCATATTTTTTAATTGAAATGGTCTATTGTTGTGGATCACGCAAAAGTATAATCTAAATTGATATTTTGTGAAAAAAGAGAAGAAAAAAAAACAGCAATTATCATAATTACTACAAAATGTTAATTTGAATGTACAATGTTTGATTATTTTTATATTTTTGTCATGTCAATTTGGTTATATCTTATTCCATTTTTTATTGTCTTGGTTGTTATGCAGTTTTGGGTATGAACATACTTCAATTTGCAGGTTTGGTCTGCTGCTAATCCATCTGAATTTATCCTCTATTTGTGTTCTATGACATTACTTTTTAATACTTTTATTTGTGAAAATATTAATTCTGCAGGATTCTCTAATAATAGCCAGGATCTCACTTTTTTAAATAGATAGAAGGAGAGGCTGTTTAAGAAGCAGTGTTTTTCATCCATCTATCTTCTCCCGCTCAATCCATCGGGGTCACGCTGGGGCTGCTGCCTATCTCCAGCAGTCTATGGGGGAAAGCAGGGGTACACCCTGGACAACTTGCCAGACAGACGCAGAGACACAAAACTATACACACCCACACCTAAGGGCAAAATAGACATGGACTCACCTCATGGACTGTGGGAGAAGGCTTGACTACCTGGAGTGAACGGAGAACTCTCACTTAAATGGGGAGAACATGTAAACCTGGTTCACGCAGAAAGACCCTTGCTGCAAGGCAACAGTGCTACAAACTGGGCCACCATGAAATCACACTATATTATAATAATACCTATTTATATTCTAATCAAAGAGCATGTTCCTAATTTTGCTTAGACTTTAAGTTATTCAACACAAATCATAGTTATTTTTTCTCTCCTTTTTCTTTCCATTGCCAGATGATGACTGCAGGCTGAATGACTACCGTCGGCTAAAAACCAAGATTCTGGATTTGCATGACAAACGATACATGGGTGCTGCTAATCATGGGGCTCACAAGGACAGCATGACAGCACGGAAGCAACTGGTTGATTTGATGTTTAAACGCTTCGATGCAGATAGGAATGGTCTGATAGATGCAAGTGAACTCTCACAGGTAAGCAGTGTAAAGATGTAATACTTTAAAATGTTGTTTGTTTCTACAAATCATTGAAGCTACCCATTTGGCAAAGTCTCTTTAGATTCATAAAACCATTGCAAGTTTTCATAATCTAAGAAAGCTTTGCAAAATCAGCTCAAAAAAAATCTGTACACACGCTGAATTTGTATCTCACTTTGAATATGCTGTGCAGTAAAGCCCATCATTCTCCATGCCCCGTTGTAGATTTATATTTAAACAGTTTCAAATAAAACAATAAGTTTGTTCCTGATAGATAAGACTGACATTTTTAAAACGACAACGGAATAATGTAAAATCAGACACAATTTTAAGGAGAAATCTTAATTTATATTTAATTTTGCCGAACAAATGGCATGTTAAAAATTATTTGTTAAATATAGTACTGTATGAATTCTTCAAGTCCACTGTTTGGAAGTTGCAGTATTTCTTCTTTGATCAGTAAATCTGAGTACATGAAGCAACCAGGTTATTAATTCATGCCAATAATGGAATTAAATGGAAATCAGTACTTTTATTTAACCAAATTCCCTAATATGAGGTTAAAAGCACATTAGGCACAGTAAAGTGCTGGTTATACTCCCGCAGCAGGTATTACGCAGACATTTTTGATTTAAGCTCAATTTTGAAGCGTGGTCTGCGCTATGCTATTCCAAGCCACAATTCAAGAGGGACAATCACATACTAGCTGTAGGTCTAGATACGGAGCAGGGTTCCAGGTGGAAAAAGTCTCCCAGCGTTCTCATGCACCTCACCTTTCTAGCTGGTCCAACTTCAAGAGTAATTTTTTGTAATGGCGGTCATACAAACAAAACAAGCCAGTAAGGTACAAAACAGGAAATGCGTTTGATGTAGAGCGGATGTAGATTTGACCAATCAGAAGCCTCCTGCCTGTGGCACTGCCTGCGGTCACCTACAATTTGGGAAGGATGCAGCAGAGTGTCTGCGGAAGGGGCTGGGACAACTTTGCGTTCACTGCGGCACACACGCAGATGACCTGGGTTTGAAGTATAAAACAGCCTTAAATGGCAGTTCTGCCTCGTGCCGTAACTAAAACCATTGTGGATAAAATCTGTTTCAACTTATTTGTTCCTAATTTGCTGCAGTTATGATAAAAAAAGGCTAATTAATACAATCTGGGGTGTGTTTAAGGGGTTTTACTCTTACTCTTAATTATGAAAAAACATAATTCAAGGCTTAAAAAAGTTTTTTCTTTAAACAAAAATCAGATATAGTAACATCTGTTACAATTTTTACACAGAAAAAATATATAATTTTAAAATGGCACTAAAAGGTTGCATGAAGAGCTGATAATTCTGGAACTATTCTTGATTTATCTCAGTTGTGTATTTTCAGGCGGAAATTGCTTCTGAAAACCTCTGGGCGTAACTGGTTAATGTAAAAACCTGCCAATGGTGTTAAAAGCTATCACAGTATATAATTATAATGTTTTCATCTTGCATAGAAACATCCCTGGAAAATTTTAACTGCAAATGATAGAAGATAATTAGGGTTTATTAGGATTCTTCTTTTTTTCAGAATCTGCCCCTCAAAAATTGGTTCGATAGAATTTATAGAGCAGTAGTTGTTGTTAATCCTACATACTATGTAAGAAGATAATCCTGGTTTAAAGACATAGCTGGAGAATTATTCATGTTAGAAATATGGTTCCTTAGCACATATTTGTATAATGTTGATTTCATGTTCAGCTAAATATGCTCAGTTCATGATTTTGGGGTTGATTTGATGGTAAAAACACTTTGTGGAATGTCCTTGAATAAAAAAGAAAACTAGCATTTTAAAACTGTTAGATGATATTATTTAAATATCAAAATGAAATGCATACATAAAAAAGCAGATGTTGTATATGTTTGTCAGAATCTATTTTGTTTCTGGTATGAGTCAGTCCACATCTTACACTGTGACTGCCTCAACTACCGACATGACACTGCGCCGAACAGCATAAGGGTTCCACAGCTCTATCGACCAGATTGGCAGTGCAGAGGTAGCCCATTTTCCCCCATTGTTTTAGGCGAAAATGTTTGTTTTTTTTAAATCGATACTAAGAACTGAAAGATCAGTAATATATTGGGCAGACGAACATCACGATAAATCATCAAATCAATTTTGTCTCACACCCCTACTTATGTACTGTACATTCAAACAATAATTGGAAAAACTAAAGCGGGAAGGAAAAGCTGAGATTCACCTATTTACTTATTTTAAACTAGATGCAGATCAATGAGAAAAACAACTGAAAACACACTGAACCAACAGGCATGGGAGAGAATATAAACCACTCTGGATCACTTCAGGTGTATCAAGTGGGCAGACTTTCCACTTTTCAATGATGTATCAGCTGGCACATATTCCAGATGCATCAATCTGGTCCGGTAGTGATAATTACCTGTACGCCCACCTTGGTTTTACAGTTGTTTAAAAAAAAAAAGAAAAATAAGAAGGAAAAAAAAAAAAGGACTGCTGCTATGATACACTATCCATCAACCAGATGCTTACTTATATGTCTTTTTTTTTCATATTTACCTCATCAGTTTCATGGTTTACAGTTTCACACTGTTCTTATCTGACATCTTGCTGATTATGTTTTTCCCTCTTTGAAAGTATATCCTCCTTGCCGCTCCCCACTTTTTACTGGATCATGCGTAGGCAACTTAAAAACACTACTGCCATACTTTATAAGTGGGACTCTCACTGTTGCTGTTTAAACATTATAAGTATAGACTGTTGCACAAGCAGATTTTATAATCTTTGCCTTGGCTATCATCTTTCATAATGTCCATAAGTCTTTTAATAAGATTACTTTCATATCAAATGCTTTGCATTGAATTGGAGAGAGCAGTGTCTATAATGATTTTAAAGTTTTAGTATTTAAACCAAAATGTAATCCCTTTGATCATTTAATAATCTTTGTATCTGCATAATCAAATCAAAGGATTAAATCAAGTTGCCTTCCTCTGCATCATAATCTCATCCATTTATCCCTGCCTTTTTCCACCCTGGTAGCTACACAGCATCCCTCTAAGTAAACCTTTTGAAAAGCAATGTGGGTCAAAAGAGTCTTGTGCTCCTGCAGAGCCACATCCTTTAAAAGTCACTACCAAGATGGATGTTGTAAGAAAAGCTTTTTTGTGGCTGGTATAAGAGAGGAGGATATTCTTGGCATAACAAAGTCTCTGCATACCTTAAGACTGATTTATTATGCAGCATATTTGAATAATTGAAGGGGCCTAAGCACCCCACAGCGAATTTTCAAACCTCAATTTCAGATGCTTTTCTAATGTTACCTTCCTGCAGATTCAGTTGATTATCCCCTTTGCACAGGGCTTGGAAAAGTCACCTATCTAGTCAGTAAACCTGGATTAAACACTTTGATTTAAATGTATTTACATATTTTGAGTCTGATGAATCTAAATCTCGTTAGACTTTTTTTACGTTTTAACTACAAAAATGTCAAATGGCGGTGTAATAGAAGTCATGCATTGTCACCATCTCAATCTGTATGCTGATCATGCATTTTGAAATGCAACAAATTCTCTTCAGACTTTTTCAGCCAAAGTGTATTACTCCTCAATCCAGACAAGGTAACTTTTCAAAGTACTAAAATGTGTTTTTTTTTTTTTTTTCATCTTTCTGCTGGTGAAGGTTCTCAGTCATTCAGGTCATAGTCATTCTTAAAAAAGAAATATTAAAAAAAATACCACTGGACTTTGTTTCAAAGTTTGAAGACGTTTCGCTTCCCATCCAGGAAGGTTTTTCAATTCAAAATTTCAGGAATAGCATTGTGTTCGAGGTTGTATACAGTAGCCCAACAAAGCCTTGTTTGTGTTTTGAAAACATGCAAATTGGAACAGACGAAGGGGTCCACCCATTTGGAATGGGGGTCGCTTGGCTTCTTTTGATCACTAAAAGAAGTGGAAGCTTTTACAAGACACATTTACTCGGTTGACCAAAACATCAATTTCACAAGAGAGGATGCCAACAACAACAAGCTACCTTTTCTGGACTGTTTGGTGAGCAAAGAAGGAAATGGAAACCTCAACATTGAAGTCTATATGAAATCCGCTAACACAGACCAATATCTTCTTTTTGACTCACACCACCCATTGGAACACAAACTTTCAGTCATCAGAACCTTACGAC